AAATGTTTAAGAACTTAGGTTTTCATACCTGAAGATTTTAACTTTCTCAATTTTTACTAAATTTCAAGTGAGATATATATTTTTTTTATTTAATATCATTTAATCTAAAATATTCTTTATATTCAATATTATAAACTCCCATCAACCACAAGATATCTTTAAAAAATTTTAATGGAAGTCACTTTGCAAAAATAAAAGCATTGAACTGATGACTTTGAAACTCACAATTCAGCCTCTTTTGCCTAGAAAGTAAAATTAACAAAATTCATTTTGTCAGGAAAAATTACCTAATTTCTAGCATATTGTGACAATATTTAACATGGCGTATGGATGAAAAGAGTTAAATGGACAAAAAGGGTTAAAACAAAATGATTTTAGTTTTTTGTCAGAAAGAGAATTATTTTCCCATGATATGAGAACAGATGTATGAATTTTGTTGATTCAGCTAGACACAGCTGGCAGGTCGGGGCCAGAGGTTAAAGTTGTCTGCCGAATGGTATCAATGGGAAATTGTAGCTGACAAAATTTCCCTGAGAAAAAATTATAATTGTAAGCAATTGTAAAGGCAGAAGATGACATGAGAAAGGCTGACATCATATGATGGCTCCTCCTGAAGAAGGAGAGGATCTTCACAAATTGGAAATGTGAAATAGAAAACGAAAGAAAATGACTGGTTGAATTTTGGGAGATTTGCATAAAACCACCTATTTGCCTGTGTCACACTAGTTGAAAGGGACACCCATAAATACAAGTGCCCATGTGGGACAAAGTTAGTTAGGGTTAGTCGCAGTTGGGCCAGTTGGATTTGGGTTTAATCGGAATGGAGGTTGCCATCTGAAGTTGCGACCAGGAGTTACATAATGCTGTTTTGCCAACCTAGTGAAAATAATAATAATAATAATTATCTGCTGAAGAAAAACTCCGATGAATAACCTTGTGCCATACATGAAAGTACAAATCACAGTACTTGAAGTTAAATCCAGTTGTCAAGTCTGGCCACTCTTTAAAGAAGCTACCTGCAATTTTCGTTCCGTCGCCAGTTATTAGAACGCGTTGGGAAAAGAAGAAAAAGAACAAAAAAGAACTCTAAATATTTTTTTATTCTGGTATAAACATCATATCATGACTTATTTGGGCGTCGTCCATTTTATTTTTCAATTTTGTATGCACGTGTTCAACTCCTTGGTTTAGCGTGGTTAAGATACCCCTGTGGAAATTCGGCTTGACTCTCTTAAGATCAAAATCACAACGTGGGTAAGAGAGGTCACAGTTGAAGGCTGGCGCTAACGCCTTCTCCCCTTGGGCGTTTCCCTGGCATTCTGAGGAAATGTGTCCAATGCCATTGCATCGAAAACACCGCTTGTCGCAGCCAGACCTCTGCATTCTGTTTGACCTCTCCTGACGTCCTTGTGTACAATTCTTCACCATATGGTTGGGTCCAGAGCACTTGTGGTAATCATTCTGCTAACAGGTTTGGCAGGGGGAACCTCAGCTTCTGAGCGTGGTAGCTCTACGGATGCGGCGGCCAATACCTGGCACCCTTCGTCATCCGTCATAATAGCCCTTGCTCGGGTCAGAATCTGTTCTAGATTCATGTCATCCATCCTGGACAAAGCTTTGAGAAGCTGGCTAACATGATGTGTGGCAGCCCTGACACAAATGCACATGCCATCCACCAATCAGGCAGCGGTTCTCCTATTAGCCGTGCCAAACGATGCATTTCAGCCAGGAATTCATCCACCGTTTCCCCTGGGCGAAGACGCTGTCCCATAAATTGGTCGAACGCATTAAATCTGTCAGTTGCGTATGCAGTCATAAGGGCCCGTTTAATTTGTTCCGCATCTGCCCTCTGCTCTCCACTAAGTTGTCTATACACAGCAAGGGCACTGCCTCGTAGTCGTAGAAGCATGATGCGCTCGATCTTGTCTATGGCGCAAAGTTCGCAGACCAATTCCACATTTTCTATCTGTTCAACAATGGGCATATCCGTTGGGGCGCTGCTGAATTCTGGAATCAAACGGACGTCAAAGATCTTGCCTTCCATTTTGAAGAATCAATAGGCTGAAATATCTTGTGGCGAATAAAGAAAACGGCAACCAGCAAGAAAATTCAAGCTCTCCCAACTGGTATTCCAACCTCGAGTCGTTTCTTCTTGAGTTCTGTCTCAAAATCGCACTAACAGACTTTTCTAGCCACCAACCATGAATGTCACTCGAAAAACTCCCTGCACTGGGAAAAAAGTAGTTGCTTTTATATTTGTCCATATACCCATAATCCCTTGCGTCTTCATGTGATCCCATAATTCATTGCGTCCCTGTCCCATAATGCATTGCATCTTTATTGCATAAAAATGCAATGCAAGTCCCACCTCATTCTTTTACGTTATTTGGCCGGGAACAGATTACGGCAGAGCGGTAAGTGCTTTTTTCTCCCTTATTTCAACTGCAGTAGCTTTATATGCTAAGCAAATACGGGCTCTTTTTTGGCGGGGACAAGGCAAGTCGCAACCAGTTGTGCTCGTCCCAGGTTCTGTCTCATGTCTGCCACATTTTTGTAGATAAGTATAATTGCATTCCATTTATTTTATCAACACAAACATGATAATTATTAAAAATTATTTTCTCCCAAGTTCATAACAATGTAACTAAAAATTAAAGAACTTTAAAAATTATTCTGGTTTAAGGACATAATACAAACTACATCTTATTCACTGCATGCAAATAGACAATGAAAAAGAACTAACAGGACTTTGACTCTGAAAATAACTGAATTAGGTAAATGGGAATGAGGAAAAGGTTTGAAGAATGAAGACTCCTGTTCACAGCAAGTGAAGCAGAGACCCTGTCTATTAAGCACAGACTGAAAGGTCCATTACTTTTTAATGTTATATACAATTTGGATTGAATCCTTTAACATTATTAAAAATGGACTTTTCTATATAAATTACAACTTTCTTTGATAAACCTATAAATGCATGATTTATATTGGAATTTTGTTAACTGTGCAATTATTAGAATTCGTCTTTCCATTCAGACATGTATACTCAATTTGGTTGTTATACTCACAATATTTTGGTTGTTGTTTTTATCAGTCTTTGTACTCAGCAACCTTTTCAGAATTTTGAACCAAACCCTTTATTCAGTCCACAGCGGTAGATTTTTCTCATTCTGTTTTCCATGTTAAAAATCATGTCAGTTAATTTTCTGAAATAAGCAACTGATAAGTGCAAACAAACTTTTGTATCTCTACTTGTCTGTTTCTTTCTAGAATTACTTTTCAGCACTACTTTACCCAGAGATTGAACTCATAACTGTCAGGAAACCAGATATGATTTAACCAAAACATTAATCTGTTAGACTCTGTGTCACTAGTGTAATCTATTATCAAAAAATAATTTTAATATTGTTTGATATAATAAATTTTTTTAAGGTTTGTTAAATATATACAATTGATTTTTTTTTTTTCAGAAAATTAATTAAATTTGAACTCTTGTTCTTCCAAAATTGTGGCAGTTTAGAGTGACACATCAAAAAGGGAAATGAGTAATAAATCTCAACAAATTTTATTGGTGCTTGGAGACACCAGAGAAGAAATATTTGAGATAGTATCTTTTGATATCAGTGGAAAACTTGATACAGTTTTTAATGTCAGTAATTATATTTTTATAGTTTGAATTTGTTTTCATAAATAAAATTTATGTGAGTTAAATGAAATGTAGTTCAATTTCAAATTTACAGCTAACAAATTGGGTAAAGAAGGTGAAAAGTGAATTGCTGCCCACAAGAACTAAATAGTAATATCTAACAGCAATAAAAATTTAACAAAATGTAGTGGATATTTCAAAGAATAATTTATTACAGCAATTGTGACTCTTTCATGACTGAAGCGTCCTCTACCAGATTAACATATAAAACAAAAAGTTGGAATTTGAATTATGTATGACAGCAAGTTAACATTTCAAATATTTTCAATTCAGTACTTATAATTTCATAGTTTGGGAACATAAAATTACACATATTTTCCAAATGTATATTTAATAACTTTGTTATGATAATAGCAATTAAAAGTACAAGTTCAGATGTAACAATACGATTTCTCACACATCTTTAGAAGATAAGTAGATAAATTTCTTTTAAGTCCACTTAGTTATCTGAGTTTCATAGGAATTTCATCTCCAGTCCATTTTTAAGTAAACTTACGTGTCAGTGTTTTGGGGATTTATGTCTACAACTGCCTTTGAATTTGGAAACATAAAATGTTGTTAATGATTTTAGATAATCATAAAATTAGAATCTTTTGAAAAAGTTGGCCTCTCAAAAAGACGAATGGGTGGTCTCCAACTTCCGGGACACAAGTGAATGGATAGGGGGATAGGACCCCAGCCATTATCCATATAAGCAGGGAAAAAGGGGTCCATCAGTCAGTGAGTAAGTATAATTATTACCACAGAAATGTCTTTTACCAGGGCATGATGGATTTTCTGAATTATTCATTTCAGTAAAAAGCAATAAAAACAATTTGTAGTATATCAAGCATTCACATGCTACAGACATAAAGAAATGTCTGTAAATGCCATTTTGAAATATTTGATGATAACCACATTGTTATTAGGCAGGCTTTAAACTTTTTAAATATTTTATTTATTAATCTTAGCTTAGTCTGATGCAAAATAACAAGAATAAGCTATTCAGTGAGGATCAAACTCACTAGTAAGTTGACCTGCAAAATGAGATTGTTCCCCATTGTGCTATGGTAGACACCTAAGGTAAGTCTAGATTTCTAGCAAATTGGAAACTATTTTAAATTATAATGATGGCTTCTGTATCCTACATGCTGCTATTTAAATAAATCAATAATGCAAAGTGAAATATTGTATTGATTATCTTACTGACCAAACACATCAATATGAAGTTTTTATAAATTTTTATTTTACTTACAGCAAATGCAAAAATTATTTTAAATTTGTTTTTATAAATCTTTTGAACCTATTTCTTTATTAGAGGTGCCAGTGCAGTTGTCTACTGTTGTACACACAAAGAGACCCAGAAAAATTGGGCAGTGAAAAAAATTGTTAAAAGAGTAAGCCTTTTTATTCTTGCTTCTCTCCTTAAGAAAAAAAATTAAATCCTCCAACTTCATTTGTCTTTTAACAATCAGTAATTTATTATACTGTTGTTAATTCAATTTGCATTGGCCTTTTTATTATTAATGAAATAATATTAAAGAGGCTTATTTGTACTTTTACCTGATTTAAAATGTAAAGATGAAAAATTATGAAATTAATTTATTTTAGTAATAATGAAATAAAAAAAAAACCTGATAGACTAGATGTTTTTTGCTTTCCAATAAAAGATGAAAATTATTCTTATCTTTGAGGAAAAAAATGTTATAACCCTTGTTTGTTGTAACAAAAATGTTAATATCAAGGCTTATGACTAAAAATGTTTCATTTGAAGTTGTAGACTATTGTGGATATTTATCTCTTTGTCAAAATCTCAGTCTTTCTGGTGAGTTTGCAGAGAATGTCCAAATTTAAAAAATATTCTTGTAATTAAAGAATACTTCAGACAGCTCTTTAAGAACTTCAGTTGAATTCTAAGCTTTTCCTATTTTGTGATCGTTTTCTATCATTTAAATTTTTAAACTATAAATATTATAAATAGCTTGTAAATAAATAGTTTATTTTCTTTCCTATAAGTTTATTTCAGAACTGTAGTACAATTTTTACTGATTCCTCCTATCAACATTAATGTTTTCTGATTCTAGCCTCAAAGTCGTGTGTTCACAACTGAAATTAAGTTACTACTTGGCCTCCAACATGAAAATGTGGTAAGAGTTTATTTTCATTAAATATTCTATTCTTCTGCAGATCAATTTTTAGATTTAAAAATCTATGACACTTTATTGTCTATGGAAAAAAATGATGAATTAAATGAATAGGACATATAACAAAAGATTATTTTCTGATATTTTTGAAAGTTTCTAGAATTTTCAGTTGATGTAATTTAAATCAAATTCTGTAAAGTGTCATTTGAAAACTGCATGCACCACACACATTGTATTTTCTTTATTTTTTGAAGATACTGAGAAGAACAAGCTTCACCAAAGAAAAGACAAAAAATTATGGCTTATCACAAAGAGAACAACAGTATTATTAATACTATTGCACAAAAATTCAGCATCTAAAACTGTCATTAACAATTTTGGGAAGAATTTAAAATGGATAATGCAAAGTAATAACCAGGACAGAAAAGCCATGCAAATTGACTACTGCAGGTCATCATTTGGTAAAATGTGCACAGAAATAAACTAGATATTAATATCATTGCAAGAAGAGCCTGATATGTTCTCAATGAGTTAAAAATCCTTGAAAGAAAGAAGGCTCCAGATTTGATACTCCAAAAAAAAAGCACATCAAGTGTATTAAGGAAAAAGGACTTGAACCAAGAAGCAATAGAAGATGATGTTCTGAGAAATTCCATTTAGATGATCCCAATAGAGTGAAATGGTGTTTAGAAGAAGGTAGATTTTAGGTTCTTTCTTTTCACATGTCTATTTAGTAGAAGGGCATTGAAATCATTTTCAGTCAAAAATAAAGCTGAACTGGTGGTGATGGAAGACAAGTAAAGTGCTCAGTGTTAGGAAAGACTCTTTTCCCCATTTGCCAAGCTCCATTATAGAAAAAATTGTTTAATTCGGCAGAATAAAACAATCATTCACAATACTAAAGTCAACAAGGAATGGTTTTAATGCAAAGATATCATGTTTAGGGACAAGACTGACTCTCCATATTGCAATCTCTGACATAAAGTATTCCTGGGATGGAAAATCTTGTATTCTCATTGTAAAATAGTTTAATTCATATTTTACAATCAAAAAGAAAGATTAATTAATCTCTCTTTCATGTTCAGTAAAAACAATTATTGATTTCTTACACTTATTTCCACCATCGGAACATTAGATTTTTCAAAGTTTTCATATAACTATGTACTGAAAGCACCTAGCTAAAACTGATTTTAAACTAACATTCCCAATTCATTTTTTTATATATAATGAAGTGTTATCCTGTTTGAACAATATTTGAAATTTACAGGCTATATTTAAGGAATGTCTGATAATTATTTCCATCACTTTGGTTTACTTCATAAACAGTTGGAATTGTCATGTCTTATTTTACATGCACTCTATTGTTATAAATATTTAACAATGTAATGCAATATTTTTCTTTTGAATAGAAAAATATTAAGCAAATGCTTATGAATTTGTTTAACACTTATTTAAAACTACTACTGTGAAATTATAAATTCCTAATAGCAATCAAAATACTTTTTTTTTCTTTTCAATCATTTTTTGAGTAGATTTGTGTCCTGTATTTAAATGTTTTTGTCCTCAGATCTTTGTTGCTCTATTTATAAAAATAGATATATTTTACAATATATAATACAGGCACAAACTTTTATCTCTTAGTAGCATAGAATTTTTAATTCCTGTTTGAGTAACCAAAGTTCTTACTGTGTAGTTATTACAAAATTAGGTAAATATTTTTTGTCAATTATGTCCTCTTAATTCTATTTATTTTGTTTATTATTCAGTAAATTTATATCAATAATCTGTCAATGAGAATAGAAACTAATGCACTTACACCTTTCTATTTGACAACCAATTCTTCAATAAAATAACAAAAAATAAGTTAAATATTTTTTAAGGAAAGATACATGAAATTTAGGGACATTATCTGAAGATTAACAGTAAATTATTGAAAGTATATCTAAATACACATCTATATTAGATTTTGCTATTATTCTTTCTTATTTTTTAAAAATATTTACATTTTTTCCAACTGATAATGAACTTATGTAAATAAATTAAAATATATTAGCAATATAATATATGGAAATGAAAAAGAATACAACTGCACTGCTATGCAGGCCAACTGTTAATCAAGATTTTCATCACTCAATGTTTTATCAATATGAAGCTATCAGTAATTGATTTTATTAGAATTCAAACTAATATCAAAGCTGTTTTCATTGCATTTTGAAAAGAAACAGTATCAATCTACATACTCATTAGATAATATTATTGGCTACTTTAACTGTTCTCAATTTACATTAAAACTTTAACAGTAATGTACATGTTTCATTGACTGTATGAATAACCTGGTAAACTGCTGTGTCATCATTCAGTTTATTAAAGGAGAAAAATGTTTTTAAAAATTACAAACATAAGATTACAATTGTAGTGATACTAGCAAATTAGTATGCATAATTTGCATAAGCACAAGTGAACACTCATATAAGTGGTCACTGAGAATAACGAAGGTAGTAGTAGTAGTAGTATGAGCTTAGCGGCTGATTGTGCTAACCTCTACTTCACAACAATGGCATCGCCAATAGGATATCAATTGTCTCTGGAAGATCCAGATTTTGTGGATACATGGATTCGTTGTTTCTCTGCTACTGTGAGAACAAAAAAGTTGAAAGACAACAAGGAAAAGGGAGGCGAAAATGAAATCACGGATTTATTTTGGCTACAGCTGGATGCGAGGTGGTAATGAAAGTCTCCACCATGGCATATCCCACAAATTAGGAAGACTTGACTTTCGAAAAAATAAGTGTGTAAATTAAAAAAAGAAAAACATTGAAAGAATTGAAGAAAACGACACCAATAGGGAAGTTTTTACATTAAAAAATAAGAGTATAAAAAAATTGAACATAAGACAAAAGACATTATAGTAAAGGTCAAAATTAATAACTGCAATTTAGATATGCAAATGGATACTGGGAGTTAAGTAATACTCATGCCAAAAAATTTTTGGGAACGCATTGGTAAGCCACCTTTACGAAAAAGCCGTTTACAACTTCGCCAATTTGATGGGTCAGTTATAAAAACATTAGGATACTTTGAAGGTTCCTTAGAGTTAAAAGACAAATTTGAAGTAATACCTATAGTTGTTACAAGTTGCGAAAAGAACCACGGACTTATTGGAAACGACGTGCTTAACATAAATTCTACCAAGTTAATTAATGAAATAAAAATGGAAAAAACTGGAAAGTTAAAAAACTATGAAGCAAGTTTAAAAGTAAAAGAAAATGTTCCCCCCCTCTTATTATGAGGCACGAAAATTACCAGTACATTTATTGCCATTAGTAGTGACAAAACTACGTAAATTAGTAGAACAAGACCTTCTTGAACATGTTCCGCCTGGAGGTAGAAAGTGGGCATCACCGATTGTAGTGTTGAGGAAAACAGATGGCGATTTACGTATTTGTGGAGATTACAAAATAGGAGTAATTCACAAGATATGCTCGGATTCATATCCCATACCCAATGTTGAACTTGCATTACATGCACTGGCAAAGATGACCGTTTTTTTTTCAAAAATAGATTTAAAAACAGCATACCACCAAATACCAATAGATGAGAACTTCAAAGAAGTAACCACAATAAATACTCCAATAGGTTTACTAAGATGGAAAAGGATGCCATATGGAATAAAAACTGCAAACGCCATATTTCAAAGGGCCATTGAACAGGTTTTAGGAAATGTACAAAAAATGATTTGTTACCAAGACGACATATGCATAGGAGCTACTAATGAAAAGAGAAAAGTGACTTAGTCTTGAATAGATTAAGAAATGCTGGAATGACAATAAATGAGAAAAAATGTGTAAGCAATTCTAACAAAATATCTTTTTTAGGTTATTCCATTTCAAAAGAAGGTATATCACCAGACCAAGCCTTGATAGAAAAAATACTAAAAGTAGCTACACCTACAAATAAAAAGAATTGGAGTCTTTTTTGGGATTTGTAAATTTTTACAGGCAATACTTACCAAAATACACAGACTTGACGGAACCATTTGCAAATTTAAGAAAAAAGAATGTGGAATTTATGTGGTCAGACGAATAGCAAAAAGCTTTTGAAAGATTAAAAGAAATTATGTCAAAGAAACCTGTAGTGAAAATTTTTGATCCAAAAAAGGACATAACACTCACTACAGATGCAAGTGAACATTCAATATCGGGAATATTATCACAAGAAGGACATCCTATAATGTATTTATCGAGAAGATTAACGAACACTGAATTCAATTACTCGAACATAGAGAAAGAAGCATTGGCTATTGTGTGGACAACTATCAGAGCCTGACAATGGGAAAAAATTTCTGTTAAGAAGTGATCATAGACCATTAAAGTTTATATTTAACCCAAGGAAAGAATTACCCAAAGTCACGACATCAAGGATTCTACGATGGGCGATAAGATTGATGGCATTTGACTTTGATATAGAGTATGTCAAAGGAAATTCAATTCCACATGTAGACACACTATCAAGATTGAGGTTCTACAAGGAGTCAAAAGATAAAACAGGAAGAATTTGAAGATTCATTCCTACATTTGATAGACTGATGTTTTGTCTTTAGACAGATTGGCTGAGGAAACGAGACATGATCCAGTGCTAAGTAGGATAGTATCGAGAATAAGAAAAAACTTGTGGGAAAATTGTTCTAGGGCGGAAAGACCCTATAAAGAAATAAGACACAAGTTAACAATAGAACATGGAGTGATTTGTAATGGGGACCTGGTAGTTCCCCCAGAAACACAAAGAAAACCGATAATAGAAAGTGTACATGATGATATACACTGTGGAGTAGCGGCCACACAAAAAAGGATAAAATTAGAAGTTTGGTGGCCGGGATATTCAAGAGATGTCGAGGAATATGTAAAAAGGTGTAAAAAATGTAAAGAATTAAGAAACTTTACACAAACCAAATTACATTCGTGGCCCAAAGAAGTGGAGCCATGGAGTCGTGTGCATATGGATCATGCATACATTAATGGAGTGGGACTCTTATTAATACTAGTAGACTCTTTTTCAGGGTGGCCTGAAATAATCCAGGTTACAAACAAGAAAAGTTCTACTATAAAGCAGATTCTAAGAGTCATATTTTCCAGAAATGGCATACCAAAACCTTGGTATCTGATAATGCACCAGAATTTTGTGATGAAGAACTTAATGTATGGCTAGAAAAAATAGGGTGTAAACCATATAAGACACCTCCATATCACCCTCAATCAAACGGACTAGCAGAAAGAATGGTGCAGACCATAAAAAAGGGACTAAAAGCATGCTCTCAGCAAAAAGAAAAAGTAGAAGTTTTTCTGCCTAAGCTGCTTTTAAGTTATCGTACGATACCACATGTGGGAAGACTAGAAAGCCCATCAGCTTTAATGGGAAGACAGATTAGAGCTCCGCTAACGATGTCATATTCTACAAATGAAAAAATGTGGTACAAAAAGAACAAAGATGCAGATCCAGAAAGGGCAGAATTTATCATGCAAAAAGGCCAGAATACAGCCATAATAAATAGAGAAAACAGCAATAGTGTGTTAGCCCATGCAGACCAAATAAGGACCCAGGGTGAAGAGGAAGAGCAAAACGATGAAGAAATGTCTTCAATTCCGTCTGATAACGAGTTGGTAGAACACCCATTACAGAAGGAAACTTCAGAAGATGAAATAATGCAGGATCAAGAGGGTCAGAATGAGTCTGAAAAAACATATGACTACAGCCTAGTGCGGGACAGATCGAGGTCTCCCAGGGAAAGAAATACCGGAGAGAGAGAAGTAGAGCAAAGTGATGAAAATAGCATGAGAAGGAGTACAAGATCTACGAGAGGAATAAAACCCTTACGTTTCAGGGAGATGTAGTGATACTAGCAAATTAGTATGCATAATTTGCATAAGCATAAGTGAACACTCATATAAGTGGTCACTGAGAATAACGAAGGTACTAGTATGAGTCTAACGGCTGATTAGTGCTAACCTCTACTTCACAACAACAATGAAATTAAAACAACAACTAGATAAAAAGAAAATATGAAAAAAAGGATAACAATTGAAATGTGAAGAGTTGCAACACTATTAAATTTAGAAAATGACTCATTAGATATGAGCCCCATTAAAAACATATTGTTAACTGAAGTGTTTTTTTTTCTAACTTGCTTCCAGATACCCTGTAAAATCTACTTTCTGTAACTTGATAGAAAGTAGAGAAACTGAATTAATGGAATTAATTAGAAGACTACTGCTTAGTGAAATTTTAAAAAAGGCAAGAAATAGCAGTGATAAGGAAGGTGTTATTAGTGGGATGACAGTCAATGGTATAATCATTACTATCTTATATGCAAAGGAAAGGTCTAATGTGCTTGCAACTACTGCTGTTATATGTACAAAGTAAATAGCTGGAATGCTTCTAACAAAATAATAATAAGGCTATTATGTTAGAATTTGTGAGACAGTTTTAAAAATGAGAATGATATGTTATAAATTAGAATATGTTTTTGTGTTCCTATAAGTTACCACTGAACTTTAAAGGATTTCTATTATTAAAGATATTAGGGTAAACTTGGACCTACGTGTCTGCAATCAAAAGGACGTTTTTTCCATTGACACTGCTATTAATTTAACGACCTTCCATTCTCTGTAATGTTTTTAGAAAACATTAATTAGAATTGTAATAAAACCTAAACATGATGAAAGTGAACTCACTCATGTATTTTTTGTTCATGAGAATTTACAACAAAAATATTAAACACTATTTATTTATTAGATTGTTGATTTACAAGAATAATTTTATTTGCAACATTATAAAAACTAATACAATTATAACTAATGCAATGCAATATTTATCATTTAACAATTTATAAAGAAAATAAACATAAAAACAATTTTTATTTATAAATTTATATGCATTTACTAAATTATTAAAATCCTTATTATTTACCATTTTGTAAAGTGTGAATATATTGGCAATTAACCAATGTTTTGCCAACCATTACCATAGACAATCTAATAAATAGTGTTATAATTTTTGTTGCTGTAATGTGATTGGCAAATAGGATTTTACCTATTTGCATATGCTGGTTATAGGAGAAATAAAGTCTAGAGTAAAGAGTCAACAGGAGTAAGTTGACTACTGATCACCTGTTATAGAACAACACTATACAACTTTTGTCATTTCTCAAGAATGAAGAAAATGTATAAATTCACTTTCATATGTTTAGGTTTTCTTACAATTCTAATCATTGTTTTTTAAAACAAACATTGCCAGGGAGGGAAGATAATAAGAAATAATAGCAGTGTCAATGGAAAAACCATCCTTTTGACATTCCGTTTTTTTTGGGGGGGGCATGAAGGTCGAAGTTTACTGATATTTGGCTGTATTTTACAGCTAATATATAAGATTTAAATTTAAAACAATGTCCCTGGTGACTTATGACAGAAGTTATGATGATTAGTCTTAGACATTGAAGATTATAATATCTAACTGAATAAAAGAATAACAAAACATAAAAAGTAATAATTATGTTAAATATCATTACCTTTTGAATTACACTGAAAATTTGTATATTTTTTAACTTCTATTTGAGTGTATATACAAGAGTAAGAGACCCTGAAAAGACTCATTTCTCAAAATCAGCATTTCAATGATCAAACATCAAAATACTGATTTTTGGAAGAACTTTTCATCACTTACTTCTAAATGTATGTACATTGTTCCACCCTTCGTTTGTTTATTAACCAACTAATAAACAAAAAATAAAATCCTTGCTTTCGTCACAGGTTCGTATGAAAGAAGTCTTTGAAACGAAGGCCAACATACATATGATTCTTGAATTTGCAGCTGGAGGTGAACTTTTTGACAGGTATTACTCTTTAAATCTATTTATCTATTTCTTTATTCAAATAAGAGACTACTAAATAGTCAACAATGAATTAAAAGGAATAATATTAACTGACCCCATTTTAAAGTTCTTCTGGGGAAATATGTAAAATGTGCTTAAAGTATATATTATCATCTAATACTGGATCTATTTAGTGGCTGAGATAGTTTTGCATTTGCCTCCATGCTTGTAATTGGTGCTTAAATACAGGTAAAAGACAGTATTTTGAATTTTGCTTTTCAAGACTGAGAGAAAATTGACATAACCCAATTTTCCTACTAATCCTTATTTGACCTTGTGTCAGACTAAGCTTAGTAAATATATATACTATTATGTAATATTATTGATAATATTAACATCATGATAAGATTGGCTACATAATTGAAAACAGTTCTATAATACTGCCTTAATTTGTATACACACATCTAATAATGAGAAAGAACTGCAATCATACTGAAAAATAATATTCATTGTTTAATTTCATTTAATTTCAATCAAAAATTTAAATAAGCAGCATAGCTATAACTATTCTGAAAACTACTCTAGCAAGCTTAACAATGGAAATATTACTTCATTTAAATTTCTATTGTAATTTTATAGTTAATATATTCCTGGCTGTGGAGAATGAGTCAAGCCCAGAATGGCCAAATATTAAGTAGAAAAACAGAAAAAGGAAAAACTTGAAGTGTTTGGTGTATTCATATTTTCTTTTGCTCTTTCATTTTCTTTTTCAATTTTTTTTATCTTTCCTCTTAACATTTGGAATAACCCATTTGTATGTATTATCATGGACATTGTTGAGAATGCACACATTCCACACCATAAAAATAAAAATATAACCCCATAAATCACTAAACACAAGTGAGGACATAAGAAAACAACAAAACTATCCCTTCTTACATACAACAAAATGAAAATGTGTCTAAGAAATCAATAGTTTATAGGACAAGTATAAAATAGGAGGACAAACTATTTCAAACAAACACGTACCTAATGTCAATATCCACTTGAATAGTAAAAGAAATCAAAATCAGGTGGACCACTGAGAAGGTAAACTAATACATGCCCTTTCCTTCAAGATACCAGAAATATGAGCATTACATAGTCAAATGTATAGGATAACCAATATGTAAAAGATGCAAACAGAAAGACCCTGCCCACTCTGATAGAAAATGTGATGGAACAATTGAATATACTGTCTCGGTAATCACCCAACATGCCCATGAGTGTGTGAAATCTAAAGGAAAAAAAAGGAATTTGTGGATGCGAAATACAAAAGAAACATACCATTCCTAAGGATGTGAATGATAGTAGAAACCCAGATCAGAAATATATCATACTCAAATATTATACAAATGTCATAAACTAAAACTAATGTCAATACAAAGCACTCATTTAAGGTTACTAAAATTAAGACTAGATGGCTTGCCAACAAAACAAACCAAACAACAATAAGAAAAACCAAAACCACATCCACTGCCAATCCCTACAAAAGCAATCGATAAAAATTCAAAACCACAAACCATTCCCTCAAAATAGCTGAAAAATAATAAAATGAACAAAACATGTCACCAACATATTCCAAACCAAAAATTCACTCTCATGACACACCAAAATCACCTACCAAACCAAAGTCCTACCAACAGAGATCACAAAATTCTCTAATCCAACCTTCTCTCTCCACTGAAGAATCTTTGTCCTCCTCCACAAAAAAAACACAACTAGAAGAATTCACAAAATCAAAGGTCCTCTGGAAACAACAAACCATTTAAAATAAAGGGAAACAAAAGACAATCCTCTACCTCAAAAATCTCGGCTAAATCAAAAACCTCCAACATATAAGCCCCATACTATTGTCTATAAAATCATCCAGTGAAAGCTCTTGTCAAAAGAATTTCCCATTTAAACCATTCTTCACAAGCTTAAAACACTTTATTTAGTGGTCAAACCATCTGGTTATTTATCTATATATCTCTCTCTCTCCTTACATCTGATACTGTTAAAGGAATATGATGTTATTCTTATACTAAGAGTCATCTTCTTGTTAGCAAAGGAATGATATGAGATGCCATTTCCAATTATTTAAATTAATTGTTAAATTTTGTAAATGCTACTTGTATTTTCATATTCTACTTTTTAAAACATTAAACAATTGATGGTAATTAAAATAGAAAGCAATTAACATTAAAACTATTACTTCATTATCATTATATAAAACTTACAGTGGCAGACAGAACTATTGACCCCCACTGAATATTTACACATTTTCTAAGGAAATGCAGATATTTGCAAGTACTTACTGAATTTACAATAAATAGTTGATTCCATAATTAGTTTTGAATAATTCCTGAAATTTGTAGAAGTTTCAATCTATTATGTTCATAGCTATAGATTTTTCTAAAAGTTGGTGCAGTCCAAAATTATTTGACCCCCATCTTATGGAAATTATGAAATAATATTGCTCTATAGCAATTGTAACGTTTTTTTCTTAATTTGACATTTAATACAAACACCTTTTGAAAATGAAATAGTATTGACGTTATAATGGAATCTCCCTATTGCCTATGTGGACTGACTATATCAGTAGCTATATATCTGGGGGCTTGCTTCGGGAATTACTAGCCTGCTACCTGATTCCCTGTCTTTCAGTAGTGTATTCTCTTTAACAATAAACCTCTCTTTCTTTCATCTACACACATGTTGCTGTTCCTTTCACTCAAGTACCACCTTTGTCTGTTTGTAACATCTTTAAGGATACAACAGTGGCAATGCTAGATTCGATTCAAACTCACAGCAAGAAAGACTCCATAACACTGTTTGTAAAATGTACAACAGTAGTAATTACAGATTTGCACAATTTACGTTGAAAATACTCAGTGAAATTACACAATAAAAATGGAAAACTGGCTGAATTGATTAAAGTATTACACACTAGTTTGCAGTTACAACAGCAGCAGCAACAACAATTACTGCAACAGTTGTTATTGCAACAAGAAATATTTGAAAAATCACAAAACATTTTTCAACTGAACTGATGCAATTATGAAAACAACAAGCAGGAGACACTAAGCTATTGTGCAAAACCATAATATCTAAGACAACAGAAGAACAGGGCTACAGATTCTTTTCCCTTGAAGGAATATTGAATTCGTTATCAGAATTCAAGTATGACCTGGTGTTATACTGGAACACACCTATTCTATAGTTAATAGACTCTCCCACATATAATAAGTAGTAGCAGTTGCGAAGTCAGAGCTCAGTGAGTTGGTCAGTCAGTCGATGTCAGACGACCGTGAGTCGAACATTAAAGTATCAGCCACCACAACTAGATTTCTGCGTCATTAACTATTATAACAAGTTCATAACGTTATTGTACGTCGAACCTTTTTAGGACCGACTTAGTGAAATACAAGCCTCCACTGTGAAACTACTCTATAACAACTTTGGTGGCGGGGGATTCGAACTCATATGGAGGAAAAAAAAAACTTTTCGTTCACTCTAGTACACTTGACGACGAGGATTCGAACTCATATGGAAGAAAAAAAAAAAAATTTGTATGCCATATACAACTTTGGCAACCAGGATTTGTTCTCATACGGAAAAAAAAAAATTTTTGTTCACTCTACAACACTTGACGACTACAATTCTAAACTCATACGGAGAAAACAAAAAAAAAAATTTGTTCGCCATATACAACACTTGGCGACGAACGTATTCGAATTCATATGGAGGAAGAAAAATTTTCATTCACCATACAACACAAGGATTCAGATTCATACGGTGCTAAAGAAAAAAAAAAAATTCACCCACCATAACAAACTTGGCATACGAGGGATTCGGATTCATACGGTGAAAGAAAAAAAACAACATTTTGGTGACAAAATTTGTACTCATACGTAGGAAAAAGGGGAAAAAAAACTTGCTTGTCAAATTTTCAGCGACAACATCTCGGATTCACATTTAAAAAAGAAAAACTTTGCAAAGTTTTTTGAAAGACAACATGTCAACTTAGTGACGAAAAAATCAGTTGTATTCTCAACTGAGAAAAGAATTTTTTTTTTCTCGATAGCACAGTTTGCTCAAATAGGTCACAAATTGCAAATTCGTTTTTGACCCCCCTCTACAATATTTAAGCATTGTGTAAACTTTTTGCGAAGATGGAGGAATGCAAAAATATATTCCAGGAATTTTTTAAGTTCCAGACAGAACAACAGATGACAATATTAGAGCAACAGAAAAAATTCCAGATGCAACTACAGGAGGAAACTTTTAATAGACAGATGCAGTTTCAACGAGAAATGGGACTTGCATAAAGGAGTTTCAAAACTAAATTCTGGAAATAACTGAGAAGAGGAAAGAGAAAAATTTATAAAATGATTTTTTCTTGAGAATACAATATGGAATTTATTTGAAATATTCACGTACAGTCCAGATGAAGAGATAACTTTTGAAGAGTATTATAAAAAATATACGGACGTGTATAACGAGGACTGTCATTTGTGGTCTGAAGGAAAGAAGGTTAGACTTCTTTTAAGCAAGTTAGGAACTGCTGAGAATAACAAATTGGTAAACTACATTTTACCAAAAAAAACTAGCGAGTTGACTTTTACCAAGGCGGTAAATATATTAAGTGAATTATTTAGTAAAAAGACATCTTTGTTTCACAAGAGGTGGAAATGTTTGAATCTGATGAAAGAGGACGAACAAGACTATATAACATATGCAGCCAATGTGAATAAGCATTGTGAAGAATTCAAGCTAGCAGACTTAAGCGCTGGCAACTTTAAGTGCTTAGTGTTTGTTCAAGGGCTGGTATCGGAAAGAGATGCAGAGTTGAGGAAATTGGTACTATCAAAATTGGAAAACGAACCAAGAATTTTGATACAGAAGTTGGCAGAAGACTGCACAAGATATGTTAGCATAAAGAAAGATTCGAAAAAGATAGAACAGTCTGGCGTTTCACATGTAGGGAAAATACGCTA